TCTAAGAAACCATTTACAATACATTCTCCATTAATGCGAAAAACTATTTCCCCATGCAAAAAACACCGTTTAAGCATTAACTGGTTCTGCATAGAAGTCATGCTTCCAAACAGAACCATTGACTTTACTAAGGAACCCCTTTTTAGGTGTGTAAGGGATAGAAGATGGAAAATGGACATGTAAAAAAGATTATGACTGTTTTTGTTATGTAAACCTATGCTATTTTATGATGGAACGTATGAAAGTAAAATATAAGAAAACTTTAAAAAAGAGTGGTTTGGCCAGGAATATGTATGATTGCAATGATAAAACTAGTAATTCTGGAACACTTACAGCAGGGGCGAACACTTCTGGTCCTGCAGAGCTGGTGTCCAGCACAGTTTGGTAGTCCCCCTGTTCAAACACACCTACTAAACCTGGCAATCAACAGATGATTTGAATCAGGCATGTTTAAGCAGGTAAATCATTAACTTGTGCTGGATATCGGCCCTCCAGGACCAAAGTTGTGCATGCCTGATCTAAAGCTACACTATGTAAGATTAGGGGATTTGGAGACATCTCTGGTGAAAATGTGTAATTGCAGCATGCCATAGAATGTTTTGTAACATGAGTTGTGCCACAGACCCCTTCCCTGTGTGTGGATAAAAGTTCTCAAATCATCTTAAAAGAGAATATAAAGAGAACTCAGTTAAAACTTGGTAAAAGACACGTCTTCTGAAGATGTACATCTACTATTGTCATCATATCTTCATTATATCTTTATTATGTTGTTTAGTATAATGTTCATTTTGCATTTGAGACCTAAACATCCATCTGGACCTTCTTTTTGAGTGTGAACTTGTGTGTTGTGATGTTAATAAATCTCCAAAATTTAACCCAACACTTTGACTTCAGGCTTTACAGGGTGACTCGCAGCAACACCATATTTCAGCCTGTTTTTGTTCTTATCTTCACACAGTTGTGCTACTTCTTTCAGTTTTAACAAAATGATCATACACAGTGCAGCTTAAATTAATGAGATAAAAGAGGCCTTCAAAAGCAGATTCTCACTTAAAATAAATCTAAAGTCAAATATTTCCCATTTTCATATAAACCCCGTTGAATTGATTATGATGGTGGTACAGACCTCCTGTATATTAGTCCTTTTTTTGGTTTTGTTTATTTTACCCTGAGCGGGTGCCAAAAATACACAACGACATATGCATGAGTCATGTGTCAGTGGGTGATAACTATCAGCATGAAGTAGACCATGCTGTAGAGGTCATGTGGATCATGCTGTGAGAGTCATGCATATTAAACAGTGGGAAATGTCTCCTAATAAACCAAAGTCCTCTGACCTGGAAAGCCAAACCATTAAACATCTTGACACCTGGCAGGTGACACTATTATGTTTGGTGGCAGTGTTTCTGAGCCAACAGCTGATTTTGGAATTGTCGTGTAAAGAAATAAAGTATTTCTAACATAATCTCGGTGACACAATATTCAACAGAGTCTCAGTAACATGTCAAAAACATGAGTGTTAGGATTAGGTTTTGGGATGAGGTTAAGGTTAGGGTTAGGATTAGGGCAAGGGTTCGGTGTTGGGTAAGGTTGGGTAAGGTTAGGTTTTAGTGGATGCAACATATTAACAATACATCTACTTAATGCAAGTAATGTATCAACAGAACATCTGTTACGTTGCTGAACAAAATCTGTGATGACAACTTATGACAGCGTATGACATCTGCCATGAAATGTTTATGGCACACTTAGGTCAATGTTATGCAGAGTTCGAGTAAAGTGTTACCTCTTGTTTTTTGGAGTTAGTGGCCAGCACGGTAAGATCCCAAAGTGAGAACAAGTAAGAATCATGCAAAGCGAGAACTGTTGGTCAAAACTAAAGTGTTCTTTGGAGCAACTGCATTCTAATTCTGGTGAGCTACTGATGGAAATCATTCAAGTTGGTTACATATCCTACTTCTTGTGATCCAAGTGAAAAGAACTTGGCCAGAGAAAATCTTTAATTAAAAAAAATAATGAAAAAATATCTGAGTGAAAATTTATAAAGAATTCCTAGGGAAGATTTATATTTGAGAATTTTCAGTGAATTATAAAGAGAAAAACTGCTTATTATGAATTCAATCTGAAACCTATAAGAGAAATTCTGTACAGAAGTAATTCTCAGTAATGTATCAACAGAACATCTACAAGATATTACTTCAATGTATTCAGATGCTTCACTACTGCTAACTCACAGATATGTTGTTCATGTGTCACTGATACTCTGTTAAGAGTTTATTAATCATCTATAAAGGACCACTCCTGTTACCATTATCTTATTTGGTAACACTTTACTTGAACACTACTATGTAACATTGACATAAGTATACCATAAACATGTCATGGCATATGTCATATGCTGTAATAAGTTATAATGACAGATTGTAACCAGTGACATATCAGTGTCACGTTGCCCATGTTACTGGTAGTTGTCACAGCAGATACCATGATGGTTAATGCCATGACGGCTAAGTACAGTACAAAATATGGCACGTGCTATCATGGCATCAAACATTACAGCATCTGTCGGTGATTTTAACATGACAGTTACGTTGCTGAACAAAATCTGTGATGACAACTTATGACAGCATATGACATCTGCCATGAAATGTTTATGGCACGCTTAGGTCAGTGTTATGCAGAGTTCAAGTAAAGTGTTACCTCTTGTTTTTTGGAGTTAGTGGCCAGCACGGTAAGATCCCAAAGTGAGAACAAGTAAGAATCATGCAAAGTGAGAACTGTTGGTCAAAACTAAAGTGTTCTTTGGAGCAACTGCATTCTAATTCTCCAAATCAGTGGTTCATAAACTGGTCCTCCGGATGGCCCACACTTTTTCATTTGCCACTATGTGTTTCAAGTTAGGATGGAGCATAAATGTGGACCCTCTGAGGACCAATATAACTATTTTTGTATTTGAGATGCCTAAATGTGAAGAACCTCTTTAAAGTTTAAGTTACACCCACATAATATAAAATAATTAGTAATTAAATGGTTTTTCTATTTTCCATTTTCTATTTCTAGTGAAGAACCATTTAAAAAACCTCATTATTAAGAATGTAGACCAGGGGGTTTATAATGGTCCTGGTGACCTCACACTATGCATTTTTATACTTTGATTCATCTTCTCATGATTCGACTTATTAACTAATGAACAAGTTCCTGGTCTAGATCAGTAGAGTAGTGAAAACAGAAATGAGCAGAGCATGGGGTCAGTTGGACTGGGATTGGGAATGCTTGGAGTTCTTCATATAAGCTGTTGATGAGCTCTTTATATATAGTGTTTATATAGTGTTATCACTTTTTATTATGACACGTGCACGCGCATCAGTGGCATTTCTATCACTGAGAAGGTGGCATGTTACTACCTCTGTGAGACTGAAATGTCTGTCACAACAAACATGGACTTGTTTTTATAGCACATCTTTATGCAAAGTCAGGATGTATTCGTAGCTTCGTGTAGTATTGTATAATAGTTTTATTGCTCTGGCTTGAGCTTTAAGTCATTTAAAATCTGTAACCTTGTAATGGATGAGCATGTCAGAATCAACTTGTACACTTGTCTGCAATCAAATTGGTTTTATATTATTTAAACCAGTGATTCCAACCTTTTGAATGGTAGTGTAGGTCAATTTCGGCTTTGTTTTTAATACCACTGCTGTTTTTGGAACACATAGTCAGTCTGTTCTCGAACAGTCCGTCACTGTTTGGTGATTTCCTTACTCAAACACACCTGAGTCAACTCAGTAGCTAAAGAATAAGTGATTTTAAAGCAGACCTGAATAAAAGGCAACAGTCTGCACATATATTGGTTGTTTTTCTTCTCAGTGTTTCTTTTTAAGTTCACCATGTTATCAAGTTCGCTGACTTACACTCAATTAAGTCTTTAATTAACTGGATTTAGTGTGTCGGTGGCAGAACTTTTTGACAACATGCTGCTTTTTACACCAGAAATTAAGAACCTTGAAAATGATATTATTTTGTTAAAATAGAAATCAGAGCAGGACTTTAAGCTAATAAAACTTGTACAGTATTATTATTTACCAGGCCTAGTAGCTGTGTTTGAGCAGGAAACTCTCCTAACTGTGCTGAGTTTTGGCTGAGTTTTGGCTGAATTTCCTCTTTTATCCTGTTTATTTGCATATATGTATTATAGGTATAAGTTATATATCGCTGCTGTCTGAAGAAAACCTTGTATCTCCATTTTGGTCATTTTTCAGTTTTTGACATAATTTGAAAATGTCTGTTGTCCTTTACATTGTGTGTAAATTTCATGATGAAAGTAAAGTAGGTTTTTTCCTTCTCCTGTACCCTCCTGTATCCTGTTACCATTTTGGAGATACAACAGCAGTCCATTGTTCTGAGAACATCAGTGACTTCTTAGTTAGTTAGTTAAAATCTAAAAACTTTCGAAAATACATTTCATTTTGGAACCTACACAGTCAAAAAAATAAATAAATAAAAATCAGTTAAAAAACAGAAAACGTACTTGCAAAACAATTTCTGCTTTATTGCAGCTTCTTCCCATCTACCACCTTCCAACACACCTGCCATTCTTGTCAATCCAATATTGATGCAAATGAATTTTTGCACACGTAGCAGCAGTTTCACCCTCTCAACACTCAATCCAAATATAAGTCCTGCCACCTGGAACCGCAGCCTAATTCACGCTAAGTCGTCACAGCAATTATCTTAATGTATCACCTATTTGTCTTGCTTTTATCTTTATTTCCTCGTGATGCCTCTCTTCCCTTAATTGATTCAGGGGAGATTTAATCTTGTGTGTGAGCCTCTTATTGATAGCATTAGTTTAAACCCACTGCAGACTGGCAGCTCCTATTGTCTGCTCTAATTACTTCATCGCTGATGTATCTTCTGTGGCTAAACGGCTATCGAGCTCAGTGTGCTGCAGAGACTCCTGGGCTTGGTGTTTTTATTTATTTGTTTGTGTTTTCCTCTTGCAGGGGAGAGCCAATGAGGGGCTCTGGATGGTGGTGGGTGGCCGTCCTGCTTTTCAGTGGAGTCCTGGGGGTGGAGTCTCGGCCCAGCATGGAGGGACTGGCTCCTCCAGCCTATCGACCGCTCGTTAGATTCCGTCACAAGGTATTGATCTCTCCTGTTCCATTAGCCCTCCCTTAACAAGAGGAGACTTGGGCCTCACAGAGTATGATGCTAATTACCGGGGAAGTCAACAGTCACATTGATTGTCTCTGTTTTGATTTCTGGCTCCGCTGGCACTAGATGATTTATCGTATAGCCCTTCACCAGCGGACCAGATGTCAAGCCGGCATCACCTTTAGCAGCCTAGAGCCGGAACGGTATTGGAAGTAGAAGAAAGTGGGGAAGCAAAGCTGTAGGCAGCAGATTCCGACCAATCTGTGGCTGGAATAGAACTGCCCAGCATTATTGCATAATTGGATGTTTATTGACTGACTCACGCAGTAGGGGGTTTGATTGTGTGTGCACACAATCACACACAATCACACACAATCACGAGCTGGAGACAGGCTTTTTGTTTTCGTGAAAGCCTCTAACGAGCTTCTCTCGTGCCCTCCCTCCATTCGCCGCAGGAGCCAGCCCTGGCAGCACTGCGAGGCTCCACATTATGTAATGGATCAATTAAACCCTGACTGGGACGGCCCACTGGCTGGGGCCAGAGAGGGTGCCTCTCTGTCAGGACCGAGCCAATGAATGAAACACAGCCCCAGGCTCCTTGAGGGAACACAGACTCACACTCTGTCTCAAAGTAAGAGCAAAAAACAGGCTCTCCAGATCTCCACCAGGCGGAACGTCATCCATTTCTCACTGACACTTCTGCTCCAGTGAGCTGATTAGGCACTTCGGCAAATTAACCAAAGATTTCATTTGCATTTGTGGATTAGTGTCGACAAAAAGAGCACGATAGAGCAGGAATGACAGAATAAACAGAACCTCTGTGTGACTCTTAATAGAGCAAACTAAGATAAAAAGAAGAGAGAGCATGAGAGAAAAAAGAGAGACTTCAAATTATTACAGTAGATAGACTAAATTTAGGACAAATTCTCCATCTGTCTATATTAGCAATCATCTGAGCTGGAACTTCAGATGTTCTTCGCTCATCAATCTTCCATTCAACTCTGCAGAGATTTGTTCAAAGGATTTCTGCTGCAGATTTATAAAGATGCATTCCTAGTGAAAATGTATGACATATTCCCAGGAAAAATCTGTGTGGAAATAATTCCCTGTAAATAAATCTATAAAAAAGGTCAGAGAAGATATGTATGTTGAGAATTCCCATTGAAAATATGAAAAACATTCCAAGTGAAAATCAAGAATAAAATAAGAATTCCCAAAATGAAGAATTCCTAGTTTATAAAACATTTGCAGTGAAATTGTATATGTCAAGAATTCTATGTGAAAATCGAAAACAACGATGCATTCCCAGGAAGAATCTCTGTTAAGAGTTCCCAGTGAAAATCTATAAAGATTTCCCAAGGCAAATCTGTAGGTTGAGAATCTTCGAGTTTTAAAAAAAATCTCACATGCATGTTAAGAACTCCCCAGTGAAAATTTCTGATGCATTGCTAAAGAAAATCTGTTAAATGTCATGAATTTCAAGTGAAGCTCTATAAAGAATTCCCAGTGAAAATATGAAAAGCTTTCCCGGAGAAGATCCATGTGTGTAGAATTCTCTGTGAAAGTATTTAAAGCATTCCCTGAGACAATCTCTATGATTTGAATCACATGGAAATTCCATGCAAAAATCTATATGCTAAGAATTCCAAGAGTGAAAATATGATGCATTCCCAGGGAAAATCTGTCTGTAAAGAATGTTCCAGTTTTAAAAATTCTCACAAGTTAAGAATTTCCTAATCTATAAGAATTTTGAAAATCTATTTAGAATTCATAGGGGGCATCTGTATGTTAAGCAATCTCATTGAACATCTCTAAAAATGTCCAGGAAAATCTGTGAACAAAGAATCTCAAGCAACAATCTGCAAGTAAATCATTCCCAGAAAGTAAGAAAGAGTGTAAATTTGAACAGAATTCCTAGTGGAAGAAAAGATTCTTCTACGTAACGTGGAATTTGCATGAAATCTGCGATGACAACTGCAACTGTGTTCCTGCTCATTTAAAATGTACAGCGAAGCAAAATAGAACTGGGGTAAGCGCATTCTATTACTCATGCAAACACACTACACAATGTAGGGCATAATGGCATAAACAACCACAGAAATAGACAATACACTGAGCTAAATTTAGATCTGGCTATGAATAAAAAGACAATGTTCAAAGAGCTCATGGAGATTTAATGGTAAACAGATTGTGGTTTGATCTAAAAATAATGACAGTAATGTGGTTTTTCATCGCATGTTAGAACTTTGTAGAATTCTGACTCATATATGTAATATAGGTCACATGTATAGCCAATGAATGAAATCAGGATTAGATCTCTTTAATTGATCAAATATTGCCTAACACTGGATCACAAAGCAACATATGAAGAGAACAAAATAGCTTTTAGCCCTCAGAAAATATGACATGTAGAGGACCTGTGGAGCTTTCTGTCTCTAACTCTGTCGTCAGGGCAACAAACAGTAATTGTTGATGAAAATTGCAGCGTAGCTCTACGCACGTTTGCCTGCTGAGCTAGAATCCCTCTGCTCGTACTTCACACAGCGTAATGGCCATTAATGCCGCCTTGACCTTAACCATTATGTCTGTAAATGGTAGAGAAAATGGTGCATTAACTGAGAACATGCAATGTTTATTTTTGTTTGGATTTGGAAGGCATATCGTCATGGTTTGTGAATCTTTAGTCTAATGGTAATGCGAAACTGTCTAGTAATGGGAGAGGTAACACAGTCCAGCATGACAGTATAGTATGTTGCTGAGGAATGAGCCTTCAGAGCTCAAGAAAAAAATATGCCGTTTTTTTTTTCTCCTCTTTTGTTTGGAGTAAACAAACTCTCCTCCCTCAGGGTCAAACTGATGCACCTTCAGACTGAGGCAAATTGGATCCGCATTTGATTCACTTTTCACAACACATCTACTGCCAAACAAGCCCCACACTGTGTTTTCTCTCTCTATTCTTATACAACGTCCATTGTTATAAACAAGCATTGCATATTGAAAGGCCGACATTGGATGGACAAAGCAGAATGGAATCTATAGTTCTTTAGAATTGTTGAGTCATTCCATTCAAGTCTTTAATCACTGACCTACGCTTTTGAAAATAAGGGTGCCAGAATGAGTTCCTTGAAGCATGCAATAGAACAACCAATTTTGGTTCTCTAAAACCTTGGATATCTCAGATGCTGGGAAACTCAAACTTTCTGACTGATTTCTGCAGATCAGTATGTTGTTGTTCAACCAAACCAAACTTATCCAAATAAATAAGCATTGCAGCATGCTGTTGTTCATTTTGCTGCCCACTCGCACTGATACAGGAGAGAAAAGGCAGGTAAAACACACTCAGGTGAGGGTCATGGATGTGGGACATGATCCATATGTGGTACTTTATGTTTAATGCTCTCGCCTTAAACTCAGTTAAATAAAAAGCTGCACTAACTTCACACATGAATGTCTGTTTGCAATTCTTCTTTATGTATTTGCTGTACATAAAGAAAATTCAGCTGTGCAGAAATGTGTACAAAGAATTCCCATTGCAGATCTGTAAAGAAAGCCAATCCAAAATTCCCAGTGAAAACATATGATGCATTCTGAGGGAAAATCTATATGTAAGGAATTCCCACTGGACATCTATATGGCATTCCCAGGGAAATTCTGTGTTTGAAATATTTCCAGTGAAAATCTTTAAATAAATCTCAGGGAAAATGTACATCTAAAAACAATTCTCAGCATTCCAAGATAAAATCTGTATTTAAAGAACTCCCAGCAAACATCCATGCAGCATTCCCCAGGAAAAATCTTTCCTTGAAGAATTCCTAGTGAAAACATTTTGATTAAATCTCACAGAAAATCGTCATGTAACAAATTCCCAGCATTCCCAGATAAAACCAGTATGTAAAGAATTCCCAGGGAACATCTATACAGCATTCCCAGGGAAATTCTGTGTTTAAAGTATTTACAGTGAAAATCTTTAAATAAATCTCAGGGAACATATTCATGTTAAAAATTCTCAGCATTCCCAGATAAAATCAGTACAAAAGGAATTTCTGGTAAACATCTGAACAGCATTCTCAGAGAAAATCTATATTTATGAATTTCCAGTGAAAAAATCTAATTTAATCTCAAGGAAAGACCTGATGTAAAAAAAAATCCCAGGGATGGAATCTATGTTAGGAATTCTCAATGAAAATATATAAGGCATTCCCAGAGCAAATCATACATTTTAATTGATGTTGACAGGCTGTCTGTGGGCTAAGTGGATTTGATTCTGTCCTCACTGGAGAATGCTGACCAGCTAGGCAGGCAACTAACAGGCTAGGAGGCTCCCATAATATTCACACACAAACTCACAACATAAATCTTTACTGAATGAGCCAAACTGCATCATCCAAAGTAAAGTATACATTACTTGGATATGTTATGAACTTCAAATGTCCATGTTTAAGCTAGAGTGGTATAAAATGTGAATATACACTACCGTTAGCCTGGTGTTACACTGAAAATACTATAGGGAAGCAAGTGAAATTATCTTAGCAGTGGTGATCAGGTCAACAAAAGCTACTTACAAAGTGAATTACAGGATTTCTGCATTAAACCTTGTGGTATACTGACATGCATGGCTGGCACTGTTCATGATTTTATTTGCCTCTCACCTCCTCGCCATCCACGTCTACACCCCCAACCATCCTTCCTAAGTTGTGATGGCCAATGACAGTGAAAGTTTTTTGCACAGAAAGTTAACACTTAAAAATGGCCTTATCCTCACAGAGGAGTAAATGACAGTAAAACATGCTGAACAAATGGGGGAATTATGGTTTTAGTTCTGCACTTTTCACAGCTGTCTTTCAATAAGCACAGGGAACCGTATTAAATCGAAAATAAAAGTCTTAAATTTCAATCTCAATAAATAATGTATGTCCTGTAACTGTACTTAATGTTGACTTCTATTCCAATGAATGCAGGTTCATGTTGCAATGCATAGGTGATCTTTA